GGATAAAATGATTTTTTTTCCTCCTTTTACGGAAAGAATTAATCATAAATAACATTCTGATTACTAACTATATGTAATCTTCAGGTTAGAAGACCCTGAAGCGGAGGAAACCAAGCAATTTGTCGAGGAGCAAGCAGCCCTCACTGACTCTGTGCTCTCGCAATGCGAACACAGACACAAGCTCAAGAATCAGCTCACTGCTCTCTACAACCATCCAAGATTCTACATCCCATTCAAACGAGGCGGCAAATACTTCTACTTTCAAAACACCGGCCTCCAAGCCCATAACGTGCTCTGCGTTCAGGTAATACTGCAGTCAAATTTAAATTTTCAGTGTTTGGTTAGCGACATTATCGTTAGAAAAGTTTAGCAAATGCTAAACTTTGTATGTTCAAAAATATATACAGAAAGGTTCGAATGGAGAACCGGAGGTTTTATTGGACCCGAACGGATTAAGTGAAGATGGTAGTGTCTCTCTCAACAGGTTCGCGATTAGCGAAGATGGAGAGTACTTAGCATATGGGATTAGCTCGTGTGGGAGCGATTGGTCTACTATTAGAGTAATGAGGGTTGAAGATAGGAGAGTTGAAGATGATTGCATTTCTTGGGTGAGTGTAGATTATGATCAAGTTGTTTGTGGTGATTTGGGGTTTGATTCTGAAATTGATTGATGTTTTGTTTGAAATTTTGGTGGAGTGCAGGTTAAGTTCTCACAGATTACTTGGACTCGTGATGGCAAGGGGTTCTTCTATTGCAGGTTTCCTAAGCCCAAGTAAGTAGTGATGATCAAGTTCTAGTAAGGATTAGGATTCTTTGTGCAGACATATCATTTCCCAAATTAAATGATCTCTTATCTAATAAAAAAATAATATAAGGGTAAATTTTCATAAATCTACCTGAACTTTAGGGGATTTTGCATGAAAACTTCATAAATTTTAAAAAATAGAGAAAACTCTTCTAAACTTTCAAATTTATACAAGACCCCTGAACGCTGGAAATTGTCATAAATGGTATTAACATGATGAGTAAAAGGTTAATATAACAAATATATCAAGCGCATAGGGAAAACATTGTCCAAAACATGCCACCCACTTCAGGGGGTTTAACTGAAAAGGTCCATAGAATATTCTCTAATTTATAAAGTTCAGGGGTGTTTCGTGCAAGACCANCCCCCCCCTTTTTTTCCATTTTTTTTTTGTTTTGCTTGTGTTGTTTACATCTTTTGTGTCTGTTGGTGATATATTTACTAGGGAAGGGAGTGAATTGGATGCTGGGACAGAGACAAATTCCTACCAAAATCATGAACTCTACTATCATTTTCTGGGCACTGATCAATCAGAGGATATACTTTGCTGGAGAGATCTTGACCATCCAAAGTACATCTATTCAACTGAAATCACTTTGGATGGAAAAGTAAGATAACCATCCTAATTATATCAACACATATTGTCTATATTTCTCAGCTAATTATTTTCCTTTGCATTTGCAGTATCTACTTCTGGAAGTTGAAGAAAGTTCTGCATCCTTCAACAAATTATACTACTGCAACTTATCCTCACTTCCCAAAGGACTTCAAGGATTCAAGAGCAGCAACCAATTACTCCCCTTCATCAAATTCATCGATAACTTTGAAGCACGATACACAAATGTATCAAATGATGGTGCCGAATTTACTTTCTTAACAAATAAAAATGCCCCAAAATATAAACTAGTTCGAGTAAATCTCAATGAACCAGAAGCTTGGACTGACATTGTGCCAGAGAATGAGAAGGATGTATTAGAATCAGCACGCGCTATTAACGGTAACAAGGTTTTATTATGTTACATAAACGATGTAAAGAATACTTTGCAAATAAGAGATTTGCAAACTGGACAATTTTTGCACGATTTACCGATAGATATTGGTACTGTTACCGTGATTGCTGGTAGACGAGGAGATAGTGAAGCTTTTATCGGGTTTACTAGCTTTCTTACTCCTGGAATTATTTACAAGTGCAATTTGGCTGCTGAAGTTCCTGAGATGAAGATATTTAGAGAAGTTTCGGTTCCTGGGTTTGATCGAAGAGATTTTCAGGTTAAACAGGTACAGGTTATACATGCATAATGTTTAGAATATCATTTATGCATGAGTTATTTTTCAGAAGTAGGTATACAAATTACAACCATAGGTTTGAGGCTTTATTATATAACCTATAGATAAGAAATAGTTTCTGGTTAGGGTTTAATTGCAGATAGACCCCTTTCATTGTCGCCCAATTGCAGATAGACCCTCAATAGTTCTATTGTTACAAATAAACCCTCCTGTACTATTGACGAATTGTGGATAAAACCCAGATAAAACCCCTGAGTGAATTTTTTTGACACTTTTATCCTCAAGAGATCCATTTGTACAAAAAAAAAAAAAAAACACACTCTCTTTTCTTGAGGGCAAAAGAGTCGCAAAATTCCCCTCAAGAATAAAACTACAAGGGGTTCTATCTGCAATTGGACAACAGTACAGCGGTCTATCCGCAGCTAACCCTTCTGGTTATCATGACAATGATAGAGATACTTCATATTTATACTCTTCTTATTTTCATAAAGAAAAGCTGTATCTTTCATCAAAATGCAAATTCTATGTCTAGATCCTTATTTCTTCGTTACATGTGAAATTGCCAGGTTTTTGTTCCCAGTAAAGATGGAACTAAAATCCCCATGTTCATCGTCTGCAAAAAGAACATACTTCTCGATGGATCTCATCCAGCTTTACTATATGGTTATGGTGGTTTCAATGTTAGCCTCACGCCATCATTCAACATTAATCATATAGTCCTCATAAAGAATTTAGGTTTCATTTATTGCTTATCAAATATTCGCGGTGGAGGAGAATATGGTGAAGAATGGCATGATGCAGCTACACTTTCAAAGAAACAAAATTGTTTTGATGATTTCATAGCCTCAGCTGAGTTCCTTATTTCTAGTGGATATTCTAGTCCTGAGAGACTGTGTATAGAAGGTGGAAGTAATGGTGGGATTTTAGTTGCAGCTTGCATAAATCAGGTAAATTTATAATTCTTAACATTTATATATTCTATATATTAAGTTTATTGTTAAATGGTTTAAATTTGTGGTGGCAGAGACCTGATCTTTTTGGATGTGCACTTGCTCATGTTGGTGTTATGGATATGTTGCGTTTCCACAAATTCACAATAGGTTCGTTTTTTCTTCCTTCGGTATTTTTATGGTAGTATCTTTTCATTTATGGGTATTTTTTAACTCATTCACATGATTTTCATATTCAGGGCATGTCTGGGCTTCTGAATTTGGATGTTCGGATAACGAGGAAGATTTCCGTTGGCTAATCAAGTAAGAAACATTGTTTCTCATCAGACAAGTTTCATCTTAGTTAATTGATCGTAGTGGATGTTACGAATAAAAATGTATGCAAAATGAAATTCTACTAATTTTCACACTTAAAACATATTTTATGGGAATTATATCAGTCCATTTCATAATGAACATGAAATGAAGTAACTGCGATCAATGTGGTTTTTTATTACCACACATTAAAATTTACCTGCATACTCTCTATTGTTATTTACCAATCGTATCTTCAGAAAGTTGTAAGATATCGTAGATTATTAGTTTGAATTGAAGGTTCAAACATTTTTAGGTTACATTGAGTTATCGAATAATATTTGTTGGAGTCAGACCGAATATTCACCTACTCATGAGACAAATACAATTTTCATGCAATGATGAAGCTATCATGCTTCATATTTCTTTTAAAATCCTAAAGTTTGAATCATTATGTTCATGGCTTATGCAGATACTCACCACTTCACAATGTCAGAAGACCTTGGGAAAAATCTGGTGATCGATGTTGCCAATACCCATCAACAATGTTGTTAACAGCAGATCATGATGATCGTGTTGTGCCTTTGCATTCATTGAAGTTACTGGCGGTGAGTTACTATTTTCCATCACTCAAGATTTTAGTTTGCACATTTCAATTTTCGTAAATGATAAAATTGTCTGACTCTAATATCCTTTTAATTTCTTTTATGTCTATGAACTGCTCTTGAACAATGCAATTGATCCTTAACAGTATATAGTGCATAATTTCTGTGTTTGTTTCCTCCTCCATGTTATGATCTATTCACATGAGTTCTGTATTGCATTTTTCTTATAATATTGGAAGTAAAACTCAATCAAGTCTACTGACTATATCCATTGAATACATCTTACCAAGTCTCAGGTATTCAGTTTTGTGAAAATTTTGAATCTCATTAAGGATCCATTGGAGCGTATAAACATGTACAAAACCTGGCTGAGATTAAGGAAGCCAGTCTAGGATCCATTGCAGCCTATAAACATGTACAAAACCTGTTTGCATTATGATACCTATTCTAAGGAATTTGTTAGTGATTTAGGTGTGAGCTTCTTGTATTAGGTTACATTTTGACATCTATTTAAGGAAGAGAATATGTTACTGCAATCATTTATTGTCCGATAAATTTTTTATTAGCATTTAGAGGTCCAAATAAATTTGTTTCTTCATTATCTGATACTATACTCGTCATTGACAGACAATGCAGTATATTCTCTCCCACAGTGTGGATAAAAGCCCACAAACGAACCCGATAGTTGCTCGTATAGATCGAAAGTCTGGGCATGGAGGAGGCCGTTCTATCCAAAAGCAGGTTTTTTTTCTTAAATCCATCTGAAAATCTATTAAATTAGCTCATCACACTTCATTAATGGTGTATCTCTATGTTCTTCTCCACTAACAGATTGATGAAGCTAGTGATCGCTATGGCTTCGCTGCCAAGATGTTGGGAGCTTATTGGATCGATTGAACCCCCTTCTAGCAAAAAATGGAAATTTCATGATATAGATTGATGAAAGCAATGAGCTCATCAAGTGGGACATTGCACATTAGATTGTTGTTGTTCCCTATACTGCAATTTTACGTTAAAACGCCGCGTCCCTTAACAAGTTTAGTGACAAATTCTGTAGGTCAGGCCCCGATTAAACAGTTGTATAGCGACGGAAGAAAATATTTGTAAAGATGCATAAAACTGGGTTTTAGATGATCATGCTCACGAATGTATCAGGAAAAAGAATCAAAACAGAACGGAACATTGGGTAATCTGATTTACCTTTCTTTGGAATGAGAATGTTTATTTGGTTCCTCATAGCCATTGTATCTTTGTAATGTTAAATTTGTCGATCCAGTTCCAGTCGTGCTAGTGAGAGGTTGGTTATCTATTCTGCACACACACACACACACACAAAGAAAAAAAGAAAAAAAAAAGAAAAAAAGGGAGGATACTTTGAGGATTAAAAGCATGTGCATATAAAGTATTATCGAGCAAAGACAATTTTCTTCTCCAGGACTAAAAAGATGTATTGAATCTTAAGGATTTCATTGCAAATTCTGTTTGCATACTAACCTTAAATATCTCTGCCATGAATACCCACATGAATCATCCCATAATTTGATTGCAAGATATCCTTTTCGAAGAGAGCTATCACAAAGAAAGGAAACATATCCAGAAAATTTACAGGAATTCTCAATATAAATAATCATGCTTGGATTTGCCTTAGCCTTTGTTTCAACTACATCTGCATTGTAATTTCAGAAGAAAAAGTTTAATGTACATGTCAATAAGCATTAAAACATTAAATAGAAAGGACAATTCGGGTACAGTTAGACTTTTTGGATCTCTCTAGTCCTTTAGTTGTTGAGATTTGATATGATTAAGAAGTTCTTGTGCAGACTGCTGAGCAAATAATCTCTGCCTCATCTTTACATATGGATATCCTACAGCCGAAAGCAAGTGAGCAGGCTTTGAGAAGGAGAATATTTCATACCAGACTTTGTCATTTTCATCCCATTCTATGGAGAAACTCTCTTCCCCAGCCTGCAACCAAAAAGTTGCTCATAATGTTAGAATTAAGGTTTAACTTCTTGTGATAGATATAAGCAGACAATCAGATTATAGTAGAATAAGAACACATGATAACCAATCCACTTATTGCGCAGAGGGGCAGTTAATTCAAGAGGAGAAAATAGCATGGGTTTCTTCAAAAGCTAAGAATATAGTAAGTGTTATCAGCGTATCACAGTCGATACATGATTCTGTAATCGTGTATAAGAACAAGGTGATACTGACCAGAGTGAGGTGGCAAAGAAGTGAAGTCAAAAGGAAATACTTGGCTAGTCTTGGTTGGAAATAATTGGCCACAAGAGATATATGCATAATTGCATATGCATGTAACCTTTCTGGTTGTTATACTCCACCTCACCTAGAATCACATGTCTATGCTCAAAACTTCAAATATTTATACACCATTGAACATAAGACTCTTACATACACCTTTCTACTACGGTTCTTGTCAAAAACAACTCTTGAACAAATCTCATACAAAAAAGTTTCTCTTACCTCTAAATTCTCCAATCTGACAAACACTCATCTACTATCTCACTTTCGATTTTGGACCTTCTCCAAAGCATTGTGATTCATTTCTCATACAACTAACATTATCACTCTTAGTTGCATTAATCCCCTCTTTTCACTCAAGACAAATTACAGTCATCCATTAAATACTAGAAGGTTATGATTTGGAAAGTGGTCTCTTCATTTTGAAAAACTACCCAATTAACTCTCACCACTAGAGAGTAGATGTATCAAGAGAAGAAAACCAGTGACCAGTATATTAATTTCAAAACCCCTGTTTCAAAATGATCTAAGAAATTTCAATTTTTGGTGCATCAACTATCTAGTAGGAAAAATATCATATGATAGCTTCCCGTCCACTCCACATTGAAGAGGATTAGAATTCGCCACTTTATCAAGTTCCCTTTTCTAAGTATCACTCACCTAACATGCATCCACGACACATTCTACAAAAATAATTCCAACTGATACCAATCAAAATTCTCCGGAAAAAAACAAAAGTAACAAGCTCAGATTCAAATACCAGGAGATGGCCGTGAAGGGTTCCACTGCCAAAACCAAAAGAACCCTTTGGTCGCCCCGCCACTGCTTGTGATGTTTGGGACACGTACGCAATTTGAAGAGGCATGACTATCCACGGAATCAACTCCTTGACACAAACACAGAACTTAGTCCCTTTCTCAACAGGAGTCTTAGGATCCACAAAGGCCCATCCCAATGCAAAATGCCTGAATAATCAAAATCAATTACATAGAAAAACAAAACAAAAAACAAAGACAAAACAAAATAGAGGGTCAATTGCATATAATCATGCTAGTTTATACACTCAACAACACTTATAATCCCTCACCTCGTTTATTAGTACTGATCACCACTCAATTTGTGAGGAGGAGGAAACTTATCTGTGATTTATCTTCTCAAAATGTCAGTCCTAGGGCAAATAAGTGTTCGTTTGTATGACGTAGTTGGAGTCTCATGTCATTGCAATTACATTCAAGTTTCAATCAATACGTGTGGTTATATATTTTCACAGCTTCAAAAGGTTGTTTTTAAAAATAGCAGATATGTTGCATTCAAATAGAAGAGCATTTCATTAGCAAATGTTGAAACTAAGTGATATTGTATAAGTGTGTATAGACCCTTATACAGTTCTAATGTTGCAGATAGACTTCCTGAGTGAATTTTTGACTCTTTTACCCTCAAAGAAAGAAAAAATTGGGTTTGACAAAATATATCTCCTGAAGATAAAGAGTAAAGAATAAAACCAGAGACATTAGTGTACTACTCAATACTCATAGGCATACTAACTCACTGGACCCTCTTGAGTGTAACAAATTAAAATTTGAAGGATTTCAATACATGTTATACTAACTCCTATTATAAACAAAACCCTAAATAATCAGCAATTTACCCAACAAAATAAGAAAAAATTAGAAGAAAAAAAAAATTCAGTGATTGGGGTTTGATAGGTTGACCTCCAACTGAGGAGAGCAGACTTGGCGAGGTTGAAGGTGGTGGGCCCGGAGCCGAGGAGGACGCGAGAGCGGTTGATGAAGAACCCAGCGTCAGCTAGGGTTTTCTCCACGGCTTCATCGTAAGAGGACGAAGAGCAGCGGAACGATGAGCCGTAGTTGAAGTCGCCGGAGCTCTCGACGCAGGACTTCTGCTGCTCCGTTGAGGGTCGGGTCAAGCTCAATAGCAGACCCGCAACCATTTTCCCTCTTTTTTCTTTTACTTGTGCCAACGGAAAAATCAGCCCCAATTTAGAAAAGAGTGGGGGAAAAGAAGAGCATAAAATCCTGGCCAAATAGCACTTGCGTACCTTATAGTTTCACTCGCTTTGCACTTATATACCCTCCACATATTTATATCCTAGGTTTTCTAAGATTATACAAACGTGAAAATTATGAAATGTTCTCTCGATTAGCATCGTGAGTGTCATATTAATAAATATTTACAGTTACATAATGGAGAGCACTAATGTGCCAAAAATTAAACAACTTGGGACATATAAATACCATGAAAAAACAAGTGAAGAACGTGTATAAAAACTAAAACATATTTTAAGTGTTATTTAGCCTAAAATCATGGCTACATGGGCTTCTCAATCCCGTGGGCTTAGCCCAAGTGCAAATGTCTTGTCCTTATCAGCACGAAGAGAAAAAAAATAGGGTAACCAACTAAGTTAACCATTATGAAACCTTTTTCAAGTTTGGGCATTTATCATAAAAACCCCTAATGTTCTTTTTCATTATGATACCTTCTGTTATGGAAAAAAAACTAGTAGAACCCATTTGATTTCTGTCATTTTCTCTTAAAAATACCCCTTAAAAGTGCTTCTGTTATTTCTTGCAAAACCTCATATCCCTTCTTTTCATGTCAAATGCAAGCACAAGTGTCGGTAAATAAAAATGTGTTGAGGATCAAAGTATGTCATATTCAGGCCCTTTGATTCTGCCCCTATTTGGTATAATTTTCAGTTTGAGAGAAACGAGAGTATGTTAAGGGCCTGTTCGGTTGTTTTCCGAACAAAACAAGAAATGTAAATGTCATATTTCATTTGATATCATGACATTTCAAGAGTTTTCCCACATTTTATTTTTTGTGTTCGTTTCGCAAAGAAATCACCCCTTGAAACCGCCATGTCACATAAAGAGACAAAAAAAGCCGCAATAGTAACAGTGCATGTGTTTTCTATTTCTTGTGTTCGTTTGAACAAAAAAAAAGGAAAGAGAAATGAAAACATTTAAATAATCTGTTTAATTCCCATTCATTGTTCCAACAGTGCTTTTAAGTATTAAAAATTCATTGAATTGACATTTCCAAGTGTTTTCAGAGGTTTTTGTTGTGAAAACACATTTCCTAAAAATGTGATGTGGCATCCTACGTGGCGTTTCATTTCTCTAAATTTCAAAACGAACCGAACTGAAGAAATGGAAAACCCTTGAAACCAAAAACCTATGTGGCACATGGGGGATTTCTTGAAATGTGAGGTGGCGGGTGTTTTCTCATTTTTTAGGGCCTGTTCGGTTTGCTAAAAAAAAAATGAGAAAACACCCGCCACCTCACATTTCAAGAAATCCCCCATGTGCCACATAGGTTTTTGGTTTCAAGGGTTTTCCATTTCTTCAGTTCGGTTCGTTTTGAAATTTAGAGAAATGAAACGCCACGTAGGATGCCACATCACATTTTTAAGAAATGTGTTTTCACAACAAAAACCTCTGAAAACACTTGGAAATGTCAATTCAATGAATTTTTAATATTAAAAAGCACTGTTGGAACAATGAATGGGAATTAAACAGATTATTTAAATGTTTCCATTTCTCTTTCCTTTTTTTTTGTTCAAACGAACACAAGAAATAGAAAACACATGCACTGTTACTATTGCGGCTTTTTTGTCTCTTTATGTGACTTGGCGGTTTCAAGGGGTGATTTCTTTGCGAAACGAACACAAAAAATAAAATGTGGGAAAACTCTTGAAATGTCATGATATCAAATGAAATGTGACATTTCCATTTCTTGTTTTTTTCGGAAAACAACCGAACAGGCCCTAAGAGGAAAAAGAAAAGGGTGATTTCAAAATATAAGTATTTTTAACAGTTTTTCAGACGGCTGAGTGTTTTACAATGCAAAGATAACTTTAAAGGGTTTCCTAATAAATGCCCAAACTTAAAGGGAGTTTCATAATAATTACCCACAAAGATAAGAAAGCAGATGCAAAAAGGGAAAAACAATGGGTTTTTTTGAGGGGGCACCGGTAATGGATAGGGGGTTTGTTTCTGTGTTATTTTCTCAAGGAGAACACTCCACCTTTTATAGAGACCAAACCCATCATCTCTACCCCCTCAATAAACTGCCTCTGAGAGATTTTCTCTCAACAAAACCCACTTCCCCACTATTCTCTCAACTGAGAATAGTTGATTTGGTCACACAAAACCAAGTCAAGATAACATCTCCCACTTGACCAAATTAACCAAGTGACATGCCTCTCACTATCAGTGAAATCAGACATTTCTTCTTACCATTACTCCCACTATTTATAGAGAGTAACTCTTATTTCATTATTCATGAAATTTTATTTGGACTTATTTATTCCTAAGTCCCATCAAACTTACATATTTGATAAAAGATATTGATAGTATTCTTTTTGTCAAATGATCAACAATCATATCTATAGTAGGGATATAAGTCACATTGACTTCTCTCTTTTCTATAATATCTCAAATAATTGATACTTGATCTCAATATATTTTTCTTTGGAGCTATTTGTGCCACTATTGATTAACCTAATTGCTACTTGTTGATCACAATAAATATCATTAGGTCCTTCTAACAAATTAAGATCTAGATCAATCAAAAATTGTCGTATCCAGACAACATGTGTAGTTTCCATACTGTAAGCTATATATTCAGCTTCTTACATGTATCTAACAACACACCCTTGTTTCTTGCTACTCTAAGAAACAACTCCTCCTCCAAGGATGAACAAGTGTCCCGAAGTGGATTTTTTATCATCTTTATCACCTCCGAAATCAGCATCGGAGTAACCGAGGAGATCAAGCAAATCAGCTTGAAAAACTAATCTATGAGTCAATGTACCTCTGATATATTTTATATCTTTTTAACAACTTCTCAATGTGCTGGTCCTAGATTATTTTGATATTGACTGACTAGAATTACAACATAAGCTATATCAAGTCTGGTGCACAACATTACTGTTTGGGTCAGAAATTGTTTTCTTCATTGTATAACTCATTACAACTTTAGTCATTACAATAAATCCAAAAAAAGACAATCTTTTTATAAGATATTACACAATAAAAAAAGAAAATTACAATCTCCTTCAAACAACACACAACAGAGAATGTTTATCGCCTATTGTTGTTTGCGTGGAATCTTTGCTTGTACCAGGGTTTATCCGTGGACCGCCTACGGACCGGATCCGATTGACAGAATAATTAATCGAATCTCGTATTTCACCAAGGAAGTATTCACTGAAGTACTGATATCGACCAAGCGAAATCAGTACTCTTCTCAAGATTAAGACAAAGCCTAATCTCAAGGAAAAGGGGGTATGAGGCTTCGGATCCTTTGAAATACTCCTTCTTTATGCCGAAGTTCGCCGGGATCTAGCTAGCCTCCTCTGAAATTTCGTGCTCCTTGACTCTTCAATCCAGCAGCATCTCCTCCTCTTGATAATAATTCGCCCCCCGTAGAATGGAAGCCCTAAGCTTGTATTTATAGGGCACCAGATGGAGGTATTTGGATAAAAATGAATGATTTGACCCTATCTTCAGTTAATAACAGTCTAACCACGTTTATGGATGATATTCAAGCAGTTGAGATACTTAGGAATGAATAAATCTCGAGAAAACAGCAAAAGACCCGTCAAAAACGCGTTTGAGAATCAAGACTACGAGGCAGGTCTTGCTGACCCGCGGGGGGTGCGGGTCAGCCTCGACTGACCCGCGCTGGCGTGGGTTAGCTTCTGTTGACCCCCTAGCGCGGGTCAGCTTCTGCTGACCCACGTTGGCGCGGGTCAGCGATCGCTGTCTTGCGTTGGCGCGGGAAATTTAGCATTGGCTGAACTCTTTGGCACTTTACGATTTTTTAGGACTTGTATTTTCTGTCGTTTTACGTATTTACTTGTCTTGTTGACTTGTACGTTTCGCTAACTTGCTTCATGCATTCGTTAGCTTCTTTACGGTACTTGAAGCTGAACGACAAATGCGACAGGCACTTGGAGCTGACCGACAAGTGCGGTGGGTACTTGGAACTGGCCGACAACCCGTGGGCCACTCGGATAATCCTTCTTGACTTGGATGATGACGTTCATCGTCTTCTCTTCATCTCGAGCTACGTGTAGACACCTATAGGCATTTTTAGATGCCTACAATTGCATACATCAAGCTTCTAATTGCTTGAGCATAAGGAAGATCTAATGGCTTTTGCTCCTCTCTAGGGCTTTGCTTTTTACATAATCTCTTTTCCATGACCAATGGTGTTGGCATCGGATTGGAATTCTCTATTCCAAACCTCTTAACAACTAATCTTAAATATTTTTCCTGGTTTAAACTTAGCATTCTAGACTTTCTATCTCGAATTATTTGAATTTCAAGAATATATTATGCATCTCCCATGTCTTTCATCTTAAATTTTTCGCTGAGATCTACCTTGATTTTATTCAATATTTCTATATCATTTTCAGTGACCAATATATCATCCACATATAAGGATAATATGATAAATTTTCTCCCACTTTTCAAGACATATACACAATTATCTAATTTATTTTGAATAAAACCAAGTTTAGTGACTGCATCATAAAATTTGAGATACCATTGTCTAGAAGACTGTTTTAATTTATATAGAGATTTTATTAATTTATAAACTTTATGTTCCTGTCCTTTCACATGGAAACCTTCAGGTTGTTGTATAGATATCACTTCCTTTAACTCTCCGTTAAGGAATGTAGTTTTAACATCCATTTGGAATAACTCCAAATCAAGATATGCAACAATAGCCAAAATAATTTTAATTGATGTAAATTTATCTAGAAGAGAATATGTCTCCTGAAAATCTAGTTCTGCCTTCTGGTTGTAACTCTTAGCAACTAACCGTGCTTTGAATTTATTAATAGATCCATCAATACAATATTTCTTTTTAAGCACACATTTGCATCCTATGGCTTTTCTATTTTTCGGTAGATCACATAACTCTCATACCTTATTCTTTTTTATAGAATCAAGTTCTTTTCTCATGGATTCTAGCCATAAAGC